TTTCCAAATGCTTCCAAAGAAAATAAACTCGAGTGTGGATACCTTTATTTTTGCAAGGTTTTATTTAAATGTTTTAAAAAGTTCATATTGGAAAGTGATTAGTCTCATGTTTTTGGACAGGAGAACAACTAAATTGGTTTGCTATACAAGTAATCTGATGGACGTGGAAACACTGGTCATTAAAATAGGGATTTTTGTTTTTCAAAATATCTTCAACCTGACCCACAAATGGCATTTTTTTTTACAAATTATTAACTTGAATGTATGTGTATAATAACAGATCATCAATATCTTTTATTTTCACTTTTACGCAGTAAAAGGCCCTATTTAGCCTGTGTGATGATGATATCAAATATACATGCAAATGCTTTATACTTATGTAATTATATCTCCTGCATTTGTTATCTAGGTTGGATTCTATGATTATTCTTTTAAAACATTTTCTTCAAGTAGCATTTAACTTATTTGACTTCAAAGGGATGTAAGCCAAAATAAATGTCTGAGCCATTTAGAATTGTTTTTGAGATGCAGTACCAGTTGTGCCAGATACTTCATTTATAGCTTCCTGCATTTGGTAATGATACCAATCCATAAAATGACTTTAAAGTCTGCCATGCATCATTAAATTCTTTTATGCTTCATTGTAGGGGTTTAAATAAATTTAACTGGCCTATATACTAAAGAATTTGCTTCTTTTGTGGATTATAAAGTTGTGTGTGTGTGTGTATTTTTAAAATGTTGTCTCTAGTTGACTTTAATTTAGATACTTTGAATAAGATCACATTAAGAAACTTTGTGGCAGGGTATTATAACATTGATAATTGCTTTTTTTTTWAAACTGGAAAGTAAGATCTTTTGCCTATCAATGTATCAAGACATTAGAAAATAAATTAGGAACTGTTTGAAACTCTTTATTATTGGAGTTCAAGTCATTAAAGTGGTGGCATTATAATGTGGTTTAATAGTAATCTAAACACATTATCTTTTACCCAAAATGTTTTGTTGCTGAGAAACCATTAAGACATTAAATTGCTGGAATTATGGCTGCCTTATATCATCAGATGGAACCTGATTCATTTTCGCCGTAGTTCAGATGGCTTATATTTTAGGTTAGAAAAAGAAACTCTGGCCCAAAAAATTGTATCTCAAATACATTTTAACAGGCATAGGATCTTTCTATGAAATTATATCAATGAAAAACCTTCGTTAATTTTTATCTTATTTCAGTCTGTTCAGATTTCTGTTCTTTTTCATGATGCTCTGTTAAAACAAGTGTTTTCTTAAAAACTAATGAACACAGGGTCTAGCCCTTCCATCTTCTCTCTCTCCCCACTGCACACCCGCTGTTCCTGTTTTTCTGTATCAGCTACACTGAATTCTTAACAGTGGTAATAGTCAGGTTAAGCGTATATTTGGCTCCTTATACAAACCACTTTCACTGCCWGATATTTATTCTCCCCAGATATTTGAATGCCCCCGGCCCCCATATTTCTTGGTTTTAAAGTTTCTGTTCAGATATCACCACCTTCCAGAGGACTTCTGTTGACTGCCATGCCATCTCTCACTCTGTTCCCTTACCTGGCTTCGCTGAATGTATCATCCGATATTTTTAAAATGTGTTATTTGTCTATCTCTAACRTAAGAAGGTCTTCCTCTCAGGACTTTCGGCTCATTGCTACATGCCCGACATCCAGAACGGCAGCACAGGGTAGGTGATCATTTAATATGGGTGAAATGACCTCTTTCTCTGGAGAGTTAATGAAGAATGGTCCTGCATACAGTTGTCTCCTTTCATCCCGTTGGTTGTGATAAACTCGGTTCCTCCATTGTTCCTTTTCAGGTTCCTCTGTTACTCAGAGCTCCTTGGACGTAGGACTTGACCGTGTGTTGCCTGTGTCAAATCTCTCTGCTCTGTCCCAAGTTTCAGGTGCTAGGTTGTGGTGCTCTAGACTTTCCTGCCTTTATTAAATCCTTTTACTTCTCTGCCGCAGCTTTCACCTTCTATTATTGGTTTGGGATTGTTGTYGGAGTYTAARTTCAGATTACAGACCAGCAAACTGCACAGAACAGGGACTTGATCTCCTATAAGGATTCCTGGCCTCAGGCTACCTGAGACTCTGCTCAGATAAGTCCTTGCATCTGTGGGCTGAGATTCAGACTTCTCCTTTTCAACTTTTCACCTTATCAAAGCACTTGAGTCTCGACAGCAAGGCACACAGGGWCAGGGACAGGGGCCTGCCTTTTCAGGACAGGTTTTCAAGCCTCAGCCCTGATACCTCTGACCTTCAACCTCAGTCCCCACTCTTCTGACTTTGAGCCTTCACTTCACTTGTCACAGGTGGAAGGTTATCTGTCTTGATTTCAGCCTGGATCTCTATTATATTAAAATAAACTAAATTTCTGTTACAGATTAATAATATTTTTTTTCTTTGGATGGGGTAACTTCCTACATCTGCTTAATTACATTGACTAAGGTATACATGTAAATTATTTATTTTAGCATTTTTAAAGCAACATTCCTGAAAGGGTTGATGCTCCTAAATAGCTATAGGTATTTATTCCTGGGCCTTCTATAGATGAGTGATACTAAATTAATATTCTTGCATTCTAGGTCTTTAGACATTCTAATGTTTTTAAAGGGAATGTTATATATTATTTATAAATATGTCATGTTAAACAGCCACCTCACCATCCCTTCTATTTGATCTCAAAGTTTCTTCTTGGCATTGCATGTTTTGTTTTCCTTTAAGCCCTTGGGAATAATTTTGTTAAATGGAAAGTAATTATGGCACCAAAACAGGCTGGTAGAGCAGTGGTACAGAATAGAGGACACAGAGACCAACCCAAAATTACAACTACCTCATATTAGACAAAGGTGCTAAAAGCATGCAATGGAGAAAGGATAGCATCTTCTACAAATGGTGCTGGGAAAACTGGAAATCCAGATGCAACAAAATGAAATTGAATCCCTCTCTCTCACCATGCACAAAAGTTGACTCAAAATGGATCAAGGATCTAGGAATCAAACCAGAGACTCTGTGTCTAATAGAAGAAAAAGTTAGCCCTAATCTCCATCACGTGGGGTCAGGCCCCAAATTCCTTAATAAGACACCTATAGCACAAGAGTTAAAACTAAGAATCAACAAATGGGACAAATTCAAACTAAAAAGTTTTTTCTCAGCAAGAGAGATAATATGTGAAGTGAATAGGGAGCCTACATCCTGGGAACAAATTTTTACCCCTCACACATCAAATAGAGCTCTAATCTCTAGGGTATATAAAGAACTCAAAAAGTTAAATAACAACAACAACAACAACAACAACAAAACAATAACCCAATCAACAAATGGGCCAAGGACTTGAACAGACACTTCTCAGAAAAGGATATACAATCAATCAACAAATACACGAAAAAATGCTCACCATCTCTAGCAATCAGAGAAATGCAAATTAAAACTACTCTAAGATACCATCCCACTCCAGTAAAAATGGCAGCCATTATGAAGTCAAACAACAATAAGTGCTGGCGAGGATGCGGGGAAAAATGTACACTCATACATTGCTGGTGGGACTGCAAATTGGTGCAGCCAATTTGGAAAGCAGTATGGAGATTCCTTGGAAAGCTGGGAATGGAACTACCATTTGGCCCAGCTATTCCTCTTCTTGGACTATACCCCAAAGACCTAAAAACAGCATACTACAGGGAAACAGCCACATCACTGTTTATAGCAGCACAATTCACAATAGCTAGAATGTSGAACCAACCTAGATGCCCTTCAATGGATGAATGGATTTAAAAAAAGTGGCATATATACACAATGGACTATTACTTAGCACTAAAAAATAACAAGATCATGGCATTTKCAGGGAAATGGATGGCATTAGAGCAGATTATGCTAAGTGAAGTTAGCCAATCCCTAAAAACAAATGCCGAATGTCTTCTCTGATATAAGGGGGATGACTTAAAATGGGGTAGGGAGGAAGAGCATGAGAAGAAGATTATCACTAAATAAGGAAGAGAGGTGGGAGGGAAAAGGAGGGAGAAGGGGAATTGCACGGAAGATGGAAGGAGACCCTCATCATTATACAGAATRCATGTATGATGAAGTGAGGAAAAAGAAAAAAAAAGTATGTCATATTAGATTGGGTAGAGAGAAGTGATGGGAGGGGAGGGGAGGGGGGAATGGAAGGACAGCAGAATAAAATAGACATTATTATTGMTGTGGGTGTATACATGACTGTATGACCAATGTAATTCTGCAACSTGTACACTCAGAAAAATGAGAAATTATACCCCATCTGATTCAAATGTATGATGTCAAGATCATTGTACTGTCATGTGTAACTAATTAAAACAAAATTAAAAAAGAAAAAAAAAAGAAATTATAGCTCAACGAAGATATGAGGAAAAATAAGATGTTTTATGGGACATTTTAAATTTTCTATATGGAGAGTCTTAACAGATTATTCTTTTATATTCTATAAAAGAATTTCTTAAATTGTGAATTACAATGTCTGAGAACATTCTTCACTGACCTCCTCCATATACAAAGTAAACTAAACTCATTAACATATTTCTATTGCTGCATCTTTGCTGCCAGAACTTGATCTTACTATGTTTTTAATTTTGATGCTCATTAAAATGTTAACTTTTTTAGAAAAAAAAAAGAAAGTAATTATATGGGTGACTTTTCCATTAAGTATCTAGAAGCCATTGTTTTTGACATGTTCTACGTCCTAAATTCCATTCATAAACCTATATTGATTGAGTATTAGGTGTACTCCCAGGATATGACTCCTACATGTTACCAACAGACTTTATTATTAATTTTATTAATTATTGCTTTATTTTAAATATACATTTTAACTTTATTTTCTAGTTGAACTTTATATAATATCTTGTGTTTGGGCAAATACAAATATAAACATTTCTGTTGCTTCAGAAAGTTCTCTTATTCTATTTTGYGCCTTTTTTTTAAATCTTACTTTTTTCCTGCCAGATGTTCAGACATCCCACCTGGAATCTGAAGACGCTCCTAGGAAGTCTACTGCTTCGAATATATATGATTTCCGGGATCCCACAGACAGAAACTACTTTGCTAAATTATGGGCCAAACTTTCAGCCAGAAAAACACCAGTGGTAAGGGAGGGGCTGAAGGGGTGAAGTGGCAACTGAGCCTTATGTGATGTCAGGCAGAAAGAGGATTTGATATTTGGGGATGAATGAATTCCCCCCAAATTATTTTCTTACTGGTGTGAGTMAAAGACAGGACTTTTATCCTGCTCTTTGTACATCTCTAAGAGTAGATACTGATTCTAAAAAACAGAATATCCAAACTCTGACACTCAGTTCTTCTATTTTGTGAGAATAGAAAAACACTACAATAAAATTGATGCAGAAAAATATGTATTTCAAGAGAAAACTTGCTCTCTCGCTGGGATATAATTTTGAATATTGTGGAGCTGAGCCTGAAAAGGGAGTCCATTCAAAGAATCTGTGTTTTATGACAGTACTGTTTTTTTCTTCCATATTTCTAGAGGACCATTATGGTTGTACATAATAGTGGAATTTGCTAATATACATTTGGACWTGCACGTAATGACTAATACACCATATAATTTGACCAATATCACTCCCCAATATGTCCCCTCCACCTCCCCTTCTTCCCCTGGTCCCTTTCCTMTACTCCTACYGATCTCACTTCCATTTTTATCACATAGTACTATGTAAATCAGTCACGTAACTTGGTTCTAACTCARTTCTCTGGGAACTTAAGAAATCAGCATGCACGAGAGTGTCAAATATAAAATGGGCCCTATATGCAGATTAGGTTGCTCATTTTTCTTTTGTAATCGTTTTTCTGTGGTGATCTGGGAATGCAGAGAGACTTAAAAAGTTGCAGTTGCAGCCGTGGCAGAACTTTTGTTTTCATTGTCAACTCTGTGCTTGTGTTTCCTGAAGCCTGGTCTGTTCAGATAATCGCAGCATCTTCCAGAGTCAGAGCCACAGGCAGTGGCCCAAAGCACCAGACTGATTACTGGTCTCTTCCAACAGAAAGGCTCAGGCTATGCCACACACAGACAGAGCTATGCATTGTATTCGAAGCCATACTAGTTGTCGGGCGTTCTGGGGGCAGGAAGCAGTGTCTCTGCGTGAATGTCCTGTGTATTCTTGGCCTCCTCTCGGCTGGCGGGCCTCCTCCACCTTCCACTCCCAGCCTTCCTTCCACGTGCATGCTCTCTCATCATGGTCCAGCCGACTCTCTACGACCTCTTGGTTCTRTGCCCACACTTGCAGCAACTTCCTCTGTCTCTTTAATTCATATTGCTGAAAACAAGATAATTCACTCGCTCCACTTTTCAAGCCACGCCACACAGGTCCTATTAGAACACGTGTACAGACCCCTGTGGCAGGGCAAGAGCGAGGCCTCCTTGGAGGATGCTGGGTCTTGGAAGCACAGTGGGTGGGTACACTGTGAACATGTTGAGTGTGGGAAATGCAGGCTTCTGTGTCCAAAATAAATTAAGTCTAGAATTATTTGCATCTACCAGGATTTGTGGGAGATCAAATATTAGTCATTAGAAATGGAGATCCCTCCCCATAATCACTTTAAATTAAGAATTCTAAGACTTAACAATATTCTGGAAAATTACAGAAGGGCCTGTGGCCTCCCAGCCACCACAGTTATCTTGGGGTTGTTCCTTGTGTAATATTCTAAATTTTCTATTTTAAGCCAGTGACTCTAGCATTTTTTGTATCTTCTCTACTTGTAGTAGTTTTTTTCTACTCTKCCCCTTCAATCTTGCGGAACTCTGGGGAACCAACAGAGGTGAACAGGTAAACCCCCCTGCACTTGAGGAACCCATTACCCTCTGTCAATTGCARGGCTGGGAAATTCAGGTCTTCCCAGGTGAGTCTCCTCATCGGCCCTGGCCTCCTTAGATGGTATGGCTTGACGCTTCGAAGAGCTTAGCCTTTCGAATACAAGTTCTTGAATCTCCATCTGGAACATGGGTGTCCAGAGTTCAGATCTCCAGACCACAAAATCCTGACCACCTTTACTCCTTCGTGATAAGCCTGTGCCTGACAACCAGATCCAGTTCTTTCCCAGTTAGGTTGTCCTACCTACCACATAGACAGGCAGAAGCACGTATCATTGTTTGGCACCCTTCTGCAAATGGGTATGTCATGCTTTATTTATCTGTGAGAAAACTCGCAGGCCTTGTTAAAGACAGTTTTTCTCTGGTCAAGGGCACTAAGATACCTGGAGTTGGGGACTGGGAAACACAAATGGAAAAACCCACACTCTGCTCTTAACTGTGATTCATCTCTTAAAATTTTAATATAAGATTAGCAAACAGTACGGAGAAACCCAAAGAGTGGGAGGGTGTGATAAAAACCATGAAAGTAGAAGGGGCCACCTAGATGGTGATASATGGGGGAGAAGAAGCAGGTGACATAGATCACCTGGGGTCAAAAAGTCTCACRAACTTTTCACATGCCAGATTACTCTGTACCTGCAATGCACTCACTGAGAAGCTGTTTAGCATCTATCCAGGTCATCCAGAGCTCCGTGTTGAACTGAAATGTCTGTTGTGACAGGTGTCAGGGTTGGCGGATACTGATCCATGCTGATAACAATGCCCAGACCCAAGAGGTTGGGTGCCTTTGCCTGTCAGGCTGGTAGTATAGATGGAGTTACAATGTAACAGGGTGGTTTTACAGAAAAGCCAATCAGATCCTCCAAGAATTGACAATTTACTTGAGAAATTAGTCTAAATGTCATACTGAATTGTTGTCCTATATATGGGTGCATTTATCTAAGGTTATTTTGGGTGCCTCACTTTTCTTTTAAAGATTATGAATTTCAACAAATTTCACCATTRCATGCAATTATAGTGTACCAAAAAATATGGAAAAAAATGAAAACTTCAAAAAATTATTCACAAAAATTATGAATTCAATTCTATTTTGAAATTTGCAAATATTTATCAAAATGTAGGAGATCTCTCAGATGATTAGTCTTTGCACTGCAGGGATAATACCACAAAATAAGCAACATACTTTTTAATGATTGCAACAGAAGGTTCAGTGAAACGTTACAGTGTTATGTTAGGGAACATAATTGCCTGTATACAGCATTTATAATGTAGATAGGGCTTTCACTAGATTATTTATGTATTCCTCACTGCAGTTCTAAGGAGATGCTATTTTCCTTATTCCACTTTGGAGTGTTCTAGTGGAATTGATAAAGGAATTACAACTTTCTCTGCCAAAATAAACAAATGATAAGTTGTCTAAAAGGGAAAAATGTAGACTTTTTTTTCTTTTTTGATATCTTATCTGTAGATTTAATGTGTTCCTATTTTCCTTTGAGAATTATTAAGTAAGTGATGTAAAAAGCAGAAATTCCCATCTGTAATATCTTCCATGAGGTTCTGTTTCTCCGGAACATACATCCCACTTAAGATTGCATTCTCCCTCTGCTCCTCAATCCCACCTCAAAACTCACCATGTAATGAGGTTTTGGAGCACAAYGCCTCTCATCTAATATTCTGCTTCTTCCTTGGCCACCGTGTGTCAAGGTGTAATTACAGAATAATGAGGCCAGCTCAAAGATATTGTATGACTTTTAGAATCCAGTCTTAGTCCTTGGTAGACACATAGCACATGTTATAACTAGATGATTGAGAATATGTTTGTTATGTGTTTTTGGTCTATGCTTGTTTCTATCTCCATTTGACTATTGGCTCTTTGACTCAGGAGGAAAAATGCACTCTGTGGTATTCTTGTACTGGGTAATCTTACAAAAGTCACTTTTCTGCTATGTAATACCATTTCCTTCTGCAAAATAGAGATATCTACTTGACAATATCTTTGTATTAAACTCTTTTGTAAATTATTGATTTTAAAATAAATGTTAGTTGTTGCTATAGTGATGGTGATGGTGATGATTGGCAGGAAGTGGGGAAGAGTTCAGACCTTTCGCTGTACTTTTTATGTTCAATAATAGCAGCTCTACTTTGGGGGCTCATCATATCTCAGTATCACCAAGAACCTTCAAATCCATGAAAAGTGGTTCATTGGACTTCTGCCAATGGCAGATTTAGCACTTTGGACCAACCCCCTCTGAAGACTACTAAAAAAACAAGATAAAAAAAATCTACTTACTGGAAGATATCAGAGAGCAAAAGAGACAAGTGGAAAATTATCTGACCAGGAATTCAGGGAAAATGATCCTGAGAGATGAGCCTGGTACCAGAGATAGGCATGATTGAAGCTGAAGTAACACTTCTGACATCTTGTGGAAATACAAAAATCAGGTGTGCTTGCTTTGTGTTGGTGAGTGAAGGGCTGCAACCTTGCAAGTGGGGGTGAACAAGAAGTATTTGGGGCTTCATGGGAACAACAGTTTAAGTACTCTAATTCCTGAAATTCCATTTGTTTGTCTCCAACAAGATGTTTCCAGATATCCAACAGAGAATGATTTTCATAAGCAATTTTGACAATATTAKGTCTAGTTCACAATAAAAAATAACAAAATATACAGGGAGATGAGAAAACATGAACTAAAAATAACAATTAACAGGTAATGGAAATAGGCCTACAGATCTTSTAGATATTGGTGGAATCAAACACACATTTTTGAAATTTCCAAGTATTGATTATTAAACCCAATTTTTAATATGTTTGTACTTAAATATCCAAGGTACAGGATTAAACTGGAAATTTAATAAAAAATTAGAGATGATAAAAAAACAACTATATGGAATTATAAAGCCTATGAGAAGGGGGAAACAATAACTAAAATTAACACCCAATTAGACACACCTTCAAATTAGTGGACAGGAAAATTAGTAGGAAAAATAAATCTTAGATGATAAAATAGACAATACTGTGAAAAGGGGAAGAAACACAAAGGAAATAATGAGAAGATTTAATGTGTTATTGAACCCTAAAAAGAAAGAAGAGAAAAAAAATGGAACAGAAGCCAGATTTCAGAGGCAAGTGATGAAATCTTATAATCCTGATGAAAGTCATTAATCAGATTGAAGAAATCTTTAAAACTCAATTTAGTATACATTTGTTGTGAAATCATATTGAACTAAAAGAAAATCATCTAAAAAACAATTGGTGGG